CCTCGCCCAGTGGTTCTTAAACCTTATTCTGTATCAGAATCGCCAGCTGAGTTTGTTAAAAATCAAATTCCCGGGCCCCTCTTCCACCTTGAGCTTCTGATTCAGTATGAGTGGGGAGAACCCCAGGAAACTGCACATGGGGCAGCAACCCAGGTGGTTCTGATGAAGATGGTCCAGAGAGAAAAAACTGCCTTCAAGCTCTGCCCACCCACCAGGCAGGATATTCAATCACCGTGACGCCATCTTAGGAGGAGAAGCCAGGAGGGATCGGGTCCACTTTGGCTTGTATGTCTGACGAAACGTTCCCCATGGAGTCTCTAATAGCCACAGACAGAGTTAGAACTAGGTGGGTCTGGTTGGATTTGGCTTGTTGAATGATACTGATGACTCTCTATTTGTTTTTACTTGCCACTCGTGGATAACCTTGTGCACTCTAGAAACAGAGATACCAGACATAGGTAAGCAAACCACATGGGCAGCTACCTAATGTCCCTTCTTGCCTAACAGGCCACCTCCTAATAATGGGCTAACAGGGAGATTTTACTTTTTAAATAAGGTGAAAGGAATGATGTGAAAGCACATTTAGAAAGTTAGGATTCAGGTAAGAGTCTGACAAAAGAAGAGAGCTCCACTAAGTGGGAATTTGCTGGAGGATCAGACTATATTGAAAAGAAAACAAAGTAAGTGAGACCTGGCAGTTCAGTACTTCCTGGGAAAGCAAAGCCTTAAGTCTCATTATGTTTTCCTTAGGTGATATCACAAATGAGTCTGTAAGTTCAAATAGATTCAATGTTTTCAAGCTGCAATAGAAAGAGAGGGGATATGACAATCTTCCCAGATCCAGAAATAGAGTTGATGAGTGTATTAAGAGACAGTGACCACGATGACCTTCTTGAATAAGATTTTTCCTCTTTCCTTTTGTGTGACCTCATGGTTTCTATTTCTTCCCACCAAAAAGAAATAATAGAAAAACTTTAAACCAACCATTTACCGACAATGGCACAGAGCTCTGAAATTAATCATAATGAGCATTTCTATTCAATTTGTTTATGAATTACACTTGTCAAAACTGTTCTAAATTACCTGAAATTGCAAAGGAGAAAATTGAATTTGTTCACTTCCGAATGCCAATTGTCATCAAAATGGCACTGATAGGGTTTTTAATTTGGATTTCGTTTGGGAGATGCCACTTCCTAAATGCCAGTGCACAAAATCAGCATCGCTACTTTGGCATAACTGATTCCTTAAACAAATGAAGTTGGTTGTCAAATTGCTTACTGGTTAAGTGTTGCACAGTATTAATTATAAGCATTAATTGCCCATTTAACAATCTATGTGATTTTAACTAGCATGAATGAAGTGATCTTTGCTAAGTTGAAGGGCATTGTTTGAATGTAAAGCTAACCAGAAGGTGACAATAAGTCTAACACTGAAGTTATAAAAGAAATCTTCTCATATCTCAAATTGCAATATGCATGTGGACACAAGGGATTAGAACAAATTGAAATGTAGTCCAGCGGTTTTCTTTCTCAGATATGGCATGTTTTTAAAAAGTAGAAAGAAACCAATCTCCAAAGAGCTGAAGTGCACTTGGGAAATGGCATGAAATGGCAAGAAATTACATATCAGTATAGAAGACCTTCCTGACTGTTAGCTGTCAAGAAAATAACATTAATCAGATTTGAATTTTGTGTGTTGGGCTATTCCATTTTCTAAAGGCCAGCGCACAAAATTTTAGAACAGCCTAGCTGAGCAAAATAGGATATGTTGCTCAGTTAGAAGAAGGCAGGAACACCAATTCTTTTGTTTTTCTTTTTTCTTTTTTTTTTTTTTGCCACCTTCAAAACTAAAGTATTCGGAAGGTACTTTGTACACACAGTCACATGTGATCTAATCTAGTCTCGGTCAGGGCATAGGCTTGTTAGTGACCCTGGGCAAGCCCTCTGTGTGTCTGGGTTTCCCCAGCTGAGATTTGAGGAAAATGATAATTTTAACTTCCCTCACAGGCACATTGGGGATATTCAATAATAAATGAATGTAATGCATTCCAAAGTGCTTTTCTGCGAATAACATTTCTCTTGGAAAAATAGCCTATGGACTTCTCCTAAACAAAACATGATTAATCTGGCTCAGTTGAAACTTCCACCAACTGGCTACCAAAATACTGAAGGTTGTTTCAGGGAAGGGTTGTGACCCCCTTTTTATTCTAGAAAGATCTAAGGGCACTGGAGAAATTTTATCCTGAAGGCAGAAATTCAACTAAATATGTAAAAACTTTTACTCAAACCCCTATTTAAGCAGTCTTTGCTACAGAGATGCCTTGTCTGATATGACTGCCAAATCAATTCTGGAGTCTGTTGGGGCCCTTTACAGTTTATTTACAGCAGCTGTCATGGTGGTTCCAGGGTTGAAGATGTCCCTGGAATCTACTGAATTCTCTTATTTGATGAAGTGAAGGTAAGTAGAAAAAAATCAAGTATTCCAATTGGATCTGATTTTTTTCCAATTAAAACTATAAGCTGGGTCTCAAATCAGTATCTGCTAACCTTTACTATCATTAACATACACAGATATACTTAGAGGGCAAATATAATTACAAATACAATCAGAAACATACCAGTCTTTAGGGGCAACTTAATTATTCTGATGACCCTCTCCCTGCCATTTTACTGGGCTAGGTAGCCAAGACCTGAACACTTCTGTGTATTTCTTAGTTTCATGTCCTATAGTTTAGTTAAGCAGCAACTGAACATTGACCCTGTCAGACACTCCATTGGCACTGAAGATAGAGAGATAAGTATGGTTCCTGCCTGCAAAGAGCTTAGAGTGTACTTGGAGAGATGTGAAAAAAATAGTACTTACACCCAGCATTCACATCTTGGTTTCCAATACCATTCTCCAACATAAGGAACCAGAGGTCTTTAGCAAAATGATTCATTCCAGTACTGGGGCAGGGACTATAAAAGATGAGCCTGGAGTATCTTGTAGTGCCAAAAAGTAGAGAAGGGCTAAAACCAAACAAAAAACAAAAACTCCACACTGGTGGATGGACGTCAAAAGTTCTCACAAGCCAACAGGAGAGTTCCCAGTGGCTAATGCCGAAATAGTTTGAGCAACAAAATAAAGTAGCATTGGGTTTTAATATAAAAAATAAAACAAATATCCATGAGTCCCTACTGCTATAAATGAATGGCTGAATTCATAAATAAATGGAAGAGATGAGATAATGCTCTTATACAGAAGATTTCCAAATTGTCTATGTAGACACTCTGCCCTCAAGGAGGTGGATTATAACTCCCTACTCCTCAAGTGTTGCCTTCACAGAGTATCTTTATACTGGAGAAACGTGACAAACTCTACCTCAGCCAGGTGATCAAGGTCAACATCAATAGTGATAAGTCATGTTGATTATTATGTACCCTTGATTTGATTTGATGATAATGGCACTTTACCCCTGTGGTCTTCCCTTCCAAAACCTATAACCCCTGTCTAACGGGAGAAAAAAAAAATTAGACACATTCCAGTAGACAGCATCCTACAAAATACCTGACCAATACTCCTTAAAACTGTTAAGGTCATCAGAAACAAGGAAAGTCTGAGAAGCTGTCATAGCCCAGAGGAGCCTAAGGAGACATGATGACTAAATATAATTTGGTATCCTAGAAGGAGTCCTGGAAGAGGAAAAGAACATTAGGTAAAAAACTAAGGAAATCTGAATAAAGTATGGACCTCAGTTTATCTTTAAAAAAACTGCTAATACGATATGACAGGTACTGGTAGGTCACATGTACCTCCTCTCTGCTCATATCTTTCCTCCTCTACTTCTGTTGTCACACTTGACAGTCTCATAGCCAGAGATAAACAAGGTTGCTTTCCTCTAAGGTCGCATGGTCTACTGGGGGATACAAATTTAAAAAAAAAAAAATCAATACGATATGTAATCCCCAAAACAGAGGTAAATGCAGTGCAAATAACCCAGACTGGAGATTTAGGGAAGGCTTTCTTCAGGAGATGATGCCTGAGTAAAGCCTTAAAAGGCATGTGAGAATTTACTAAGTGAAGAAAGGCTTGTCTGCCATACCAAGGAATGTTAAAAAGGTTTTAGGGTTTTTTAAAGATGGGGATCCAACCTTAGGATCAAGCAAAATATCCCCCAAACCAATATTACTCCAGCAATTGTAAAAATGGAATTGGGAAGAATCAAAATGAATGAATGAGCTCAGCCATGTACACAGATAAAAATATCACAAGAGATCCCATGCGAATATGTAATTGAAGAGTTTCAGGAATACCAAAATCCAATCAAGGTAACTTTAACATCACCTTTAAAAGGTACAGTTGATTGTGATTATAACCCCCAAAAAAGGTCATATATAATCAGTTCTATTATGTCCCGAAAGAAGACAAAATGGATTAGAAAAGTGTGGTGGTCAGCTAAAAAGAGGAAGCTTGGAGAGGAAAAGTTTGACAATGCATCTCCAGCACAGCCCTCCGTACGCAACACATCTTTCAATTTACAACAGGAGCCTGGAGGCTGGCAGGGCCCCCAGTGTGGTAGGAAGCCTGGAAGAGAAGAAATAAGGTTCTGAAGGATGGGAAGGCAGGAAGAGAAGAACTTCTGTTGGGGATTTTTTGAGTTTGAGGTGACTGTGAGCCATCCAGGCAGGCATCTAGTAGGTAATTGGAGAACCGGGTATGAAAGGTATTGATGAAAAAAATTATTTCCCGGGATTTTCTCTCTTCTGCTTCTTTCTCTGCCCCCCAAATGGTATAAAAAAATCAGCTTCATTTCAGGTTAGCAGTACACACTGAGTTTTTTTTATACCCAGACTCCTTACTAGAAAACCAAACTAGTATCCATCTCCTCAGTACATGAGAAAGAAGATAAATTTATTTTGTTTCATCTCTTAAGAGAATTTTCCATTTGTGACAAAAGGCAGACCCCAGGGGATGCATATTGAACAAACTTCTTTGAATAACTTTACTTTTCTCTTCCTTAGCACAAGTCCTGCTCACAAATACTATCTGGCTATGAACCCTGTGTCTGAATCACTTTATCTATCAGACACCAACACTCGAAAAGTCTACAGGTTGAAATCTCTTGTGGAAACAAAAGATCTGTCCAAGAATTTTGAAGTGGTGGCAGGAACAGGTGATCAGTGCCTTCCCTTTGACCAGAGTCACTGTGGAGATGGCGGGAGAGCATCAGAAGCTTCACTGAACAGCCCTCGAGGTAAAAAAAAAACATCCTTTGGTCATCTAAAGAGTTCATTTGACTTCACGAAATCCTAAGACTGTTGCCATACTGTGTAGTCCATCTATCTCAATATTGCCTCCGACACACATTATCTCTGAAGTCCATCCCAGAAGAGATAGGCATGGTCAGGGCTAATTTCTAGGTAATATGCCTTCGTATAGTCAAAAGTGTTATTAAAATTCAAAATGCTTCTTTTCCTTTCTGCCTAGGATGATGAATTCCAGTTTTGGGTTTTGGGGGGTTTTTTGTGTTTTGGGGGGTTTTTTTGTTGGTTTGTTTTTTGCCTTCTGTGGGAACGTGGCCTTACTTCGTCTGTCCTAAATTTACTCCTCGGTCTTCAAGAGCCAATCCTCAATTCTGTTGCTTAGGATTTGTGAATAAATCTGTGTTCTCTCAATCAGCTTCATGATTTTGTAGACTTGGGATCATATTCTCATCTTAGGCCACTAAGCAGAAGGACAGTCAACTTTAAATCTGTTATCGTATATTTATTGTCCACCCTATCTCCTTAATTATTTAATCATTACTCTCTGTTCCTTCTCCATGATGGGGTGGGTGTGGGTGTGTGTGGGTGTGTGTGTGTGTGTGTGTGTGTGAGAAACACTTTTACTTTAGTAGGTTTTATGAACTATGTGTGTGTGTGTGTGTGTGTGTGTGATGCGGTCTTTTTAAACTATTACACAGATAAAACACATTGGTTACAGAAAAATTAGAAAAAAGAGAGTGAAAAAAATATTTTTAATTCAAGTCACCCATAATCCTACTACATATGGAAAACAGCTATTAATATTTTGGCATATATCCTTCTAGACTTTTTTCTATGCATATCATATATTTTATTTTCTAATAATGGAATCATAGTATAGAATGCTGTTCTATAATCTGCTTTTCACACTTAATATATTATGAACATTTTTTCCATGCCAAAAAATATAGTGAGGTCAATGTGTTTCATTTGTTAGATGGTCATTTATTATTTCAAATATTAAGAGGTTACTCTTTAGCTATTTGACATTTGCCATATGGGGATTAAATTCCAACTATAATCAGAGTTTAAAGCCTTCCCTTTCTTCAAGGCCATATTCAAATCCTATGTCTTTCGTAAAGCCCCTCTGGCTAACCCCAGCCCATTAAATCTGAATTTCTCTAACAGGGTCTACACCACCCAATTACTACTAGATTATATTTTGCCTTCTTTTACTTTCTAATTCTTTCATGAATAGGAAGTTTTTTTATCACTGAGGCAAGGTACTTGAGCTGAGAAACTATATCTAATATTTCTTTCAAATCTTCCCCACCTCCCCAGCAATATCTTATACAGTGTGGGATCCACTATACATACTTGTCATGTAATTGATTGGTTAAGTAACTCTTATCTATATCAAGTATTCTTAAAAGGAATTTCAATCGTGCTTAAAAAATATGGCCTTTTTTCCCTAAAGGAATGTAAGCCCCCCAAGTATCATGGTAAAGTGTTTTAAGATGTTTCTTCTCTTGTGCCAGCTCTTATTCCTTACACATAGTAGGTTCACAATAAATATTTGATGAGTGAATGCGTAACTCAAGTGCAACATATAATCAACTCATCTTTCAAGGAAATGTATCAGGCTAGGTCCCACCTTTAACACAGGTTTAAAACTCTTGCAGGTATTACAAGGATTTCTGCGTAAGAAATAGGGAGGAATCAAGCTTGTATTGTGCCTGAAATTGACATCCTCCTGAGTTGCTACTCATCTCACCTACCACATTCAACCTGCCATGTAAAGGATGAATGTCTCAGCTTTTCCAAATAGAGCAAATAATTGGTTCTCTGCAGCTTTTTTTTCTTTTTTCTTTTGCTTAGAAAGCAGCAGTAATAGAGTCCTGATGAACAGGATTTACATGAACTCTTAAAGCATCAGTAATGAGAGTGCCAAAATTTATATATCTATTAAAGTTAATATTAAACTAAGTTTTTCTTCTTGTCATGGCTAGTAGTACATTTTCCTTTGGCTTGATTTACTCATCTTTCTATCCAAGAGTGGCCTTTATAATAATCCAGTACACTTTATTCATCCCAAAGCGGGCAGGGGCCCTAAGAACATCTGGCCGAGGCTTCAGAGAGCTGAATGTCTAATCCAGCCAAGACAGCTTTCACATAGCATACTGAAGCTGATGTTGACAACATCTGCTCTGATCCAGTGAGTGAACGAGGATGTTTAAAGGAAGGGAACATGTGACTCACACTCAGTATCCACCACGTCTTCTTCAACCATGTTAACAGTATTTGAAGACCCTGTTAGAGATTTTCAAAATCACTCAGATGGCAGAACCTGTGTCCAGACATCCATTGCTCTTGAGATTGCTGGTCAGAACACTTAGATGCCTTGCTAGGACACCTATCTCCATGCTGAATATAGAGAGCACTCACCGTTGGCAGTGAATCAGAAGTGAGATTCTCATTATATGGGATGCTGCAGGGCAATTTCATAGACTTCTGTAGAAGAAGGAAAAATCATGCAAGAAGTCATTTAAAACACAGTGTGCAAATTGAGGGGAGAGTATTGCTAATTGCTAATGATGTCTTTGAGGTTCTCCTGCAGGTTCTTTATCTCTCAAGAAAGTCCAATTGGTTTGTGTTTTGGCTTTTTTTGTTTGTTTGTTTGTTTGTTTGCTTTACAACTATCATGCACATCAGCTCCTTCTTTTTTTTTCCCTAGAAGGACAACAAATGTTTAACGGATTTCTTTAAGGAGAGGTTTGATTTTTCACTTCACCTAGAATCTAATAAAGAAAAGCTGTAGATCAGTAGAAAATGGAAATGTACATCTAGGGAGTACAATTTCTAGGTTAGGAAAAAGAGCTTGCTCTAAGACTTTAACAAGCAACATATTGCAATTATAGGCAGGCTCTCCAACATGTCCTTAATTATGCAAGGTAAGTCAAATAAATGTTAATCTGCAAGACAGCTCATTTATTTTCTGAATCTCTTCTAAAAATAGGATGAAATGAAATTTGCTTTTGAGATCATTCGTCCTAAAGTCGGAATAAATTACCAAGTGGGATTAAAAACCAGTCAGCAGAAGGTAAAAGGTCAGAAGCCATGGGATTTTTTTCTTTTTCTTTTCTTTTTTTGAGAAATGGCAGCAAATTGTGATGAATGTGAGGTTAGGGAACCTAGACTTTCTTGTTCAGTCCATGTAGTTAGTGTTTTTCTGGATGACCCTGTGTAAGTCACTGAACCTCGCTGTGGTTTCATTTCCTAGAACACTAAAATAGACTTCATGGTGCCATTGACTAGTTTTGTTACACTGGACTAGTCATTTAAACACGGGATCCTGAGATGTATCAGTTGTCAACCTGAGGGTGTGGGATGATCTCCCTCCCAGCTCTAGTGTATTACAACAACCATAGCTATAACTTAGTCTGCGCTCCATGCTTTCCAATACAGTACATCTAATCTTCACAAGGATGCACAAGGTCAATTGCATTTCCCCCAGTTCTATAGATGAGGAAACAGAGACTCAGGTTAAGAAATTTACCCAAGTTCGCACAGGTTCCAGATAACACTGGAATTCAAAACCATGATGGGAAAAAAAAAAAAAGGCCTGTGATGCTTTCACTATACCTCATGGCCTGTCTTTCAGCTAAAATCCGTGATCTCTGTTGGTTTCTCTGGAAGGGTAGGAAATATTGGAAAATGCTCTTTATTTTTATTTGCAAGATATACGACTTTTAGTTGAGTTTCTTTTTCCCATTAAAACTATTTTTCTGAGGTTTCTGACCCAGCAGTGTACTCATACTAGACGACACAGCATTTACATAGTCTCTAAATGTAATTATTCAAATAAATCTTCAGGAAACCTTGTCACATCTCTTTGGAAGATTCTGCAGTTAAGAACTTCACCAACTTTTTCTTAAGGGATGCAGGCAGAAAACCTTAACTTGATTAAATTTCTTTATTACAACTGATAACTACACATTTTGTTTAAAGGGGAAATGGAAGTCTCCCTGAGTAGAATTTCATATAAGATAGCCCCTGGATGCATCTCCTGGGAATAAGTCTTTATCTGATCCAGTTTTATGCACTTTGAGTTGAATCCCAATAAAGAGAAACATTTGCCATTTCACTCATCAATACTTCAATGTAATGGGGCAAGGAAAAAAGTTTAGCAAAGAGGCTGATGGTGTACTAATCCCTGGCATTGTATATGAGTTTGAATTGACTTTGAAAGATGCTTTTAAAACATGCATGGATGATGTAGTTGAAACTTGGGTTCCATTTATTATTTTTACTGCAACTTTCCTTAATTCTACAGAGAACTCAAACTAATGAGTCATGTAATAGATGACCAAGTACTTAAGCAGAATGTGAAATGGTACTAGGTGGGAATATAAAATAAAATTTGTGACAAGCTGAATACATTTATTTTTTTTTAAGTAGATACAGAGGGTGAAGGAGTGACTGGACAAGATGAAATTAATCAATGACTTAATTTGGTTCTCTTGGACCTCACCAAGGATTATATCTGTTTCGATGTGCCTCTTTAAGCAAACTGACCTCAGAACTCAGCAGGACTTGGGCAATATCCAGATGAGTGCAAACAGCTCCTGAGCTATTCCCTAGCAGGGAAATGATCCTTAAATCTTGACAGCTACCAGAAGTGTTTTTAGGGTATTCATGACACTAATCATACCGGAATCACTTTAATTTTACTAACAATTAAGAAATCTGGGTAAGATAAAATCTAGATAAAATAATCTGGTTTTTGTCCCTACCCAGATATATCTGAGTTAGATCCTAAAGCTCTACTGACTCCCCGGGCATCTACATGCTATTCTGAAAGGCTAAATTTGGGGCTCATGGAAGGATGAGCAGTGACATCTTGCTGATGTCATCAGTGTCTAAGGGAGAGAGTATAGTGCACTAACAGGTACGAGAATGTTCCTTTGGTTCTCCTGTGCAATGGAGAGCAGTAAGGTTTTTCCTCAATTCC